CAACAGCAGCAACAAGTATATAGTTTATACAAATGTCGATCCAAATACAAATGCGGTGACACACATATTCATCGCCCATCCTGATTCAGTGAGTCTATTCCGGACCTATTACTGGTTTGTCGGCATAGATTCGGCGTACAAAACCAACAAGTATTTTAAATTTACAGATATATTATTAGTATTAATTTAAATTTGTATTTTGGATTAAATTTTATGTGATTATAATTTTTGTCTTTTGGTCTCATTTTCACAGGTACAAGATGCCGTTGGTCGAGATGATTGGCATGACGCCGTGCAACAATAACTTTCTAATTGCGTATGCCCTCATGAAGGACGAGAAAGAGGCCAGTTATGATTGGGTTCTCGAGAAGTTGAGACTTCTCATAGGCTATACGATAAGGATTTATATTAATTACAAGGTTAATTTAATTAGTAATAAAAGTACTTTGTGCAATATGGTAAAAAAATATGAGCTTTATTTGGCGTGTCTCACTAATTTTTGCCGCTGCTCAGGTGCATCCTAATGCTGTTGTCAGTGACAGAGAGTTGGGCTTAATGACTCCTATTAGGAGGCATTTTCCCCATTCTGCCACTTACTCTGCACGTGGCACATCAACAAGGATGTGGAAAACAAAGTGTACAACCTGTTTGGGAAAAATAAAACATTATCTGAGAGGTTCTTGCACGGTCGGTGGAAGTCGATTATGGATGCCAGTACGTCGGATGAGTACGACACTGCCATAGCTCAATTGAATGCAAAATACGGGAATGGCTCACGAGTGGTACAATATCTCGAGCAGACGTGGCTAGGACACAAGGAGAAGTTTGTGAAAGCCTGGACGAACCAAGTAACACATTTTGGCAACACAACTACCTGTAGGGTGGAAAGTGCCCACTCTGTGTTGAAGCAGTGGCTTCACACGTCGACCGGCGTGCTCGATACAGTGTGGCATAAGATTGATAAGGAGATCGAGTCATCGCGAGTTACATTTACGGGGACCAGGAGATGTGACATCTCGTAAGAGAGAACGTTGCCAATGAGATTTACAGCCACCGTGCCTTGTACGAGTACATCTATTACAGGGATATCAACAGGTACTCTGTCGGATAAGGTGGGACGGGGGCGCTTTTTATTATTATTATTATTATTATTTTGCTAATATTTTTATTTTATATTTATTTTTCTTTTATATTATAATTATTATTATTCAAATGCTAATATTTTAATTTTATAAGGTGGGATGGGGGCGCTTGTGGTCAGAGTCACTGGATGGAGACTCCACGCGACCTCTACCCTGTTGCAACCCTATTTAATGTGGTTGTCGTTCTTTTAAGCTCTGGTCGCGATGGTCGTATGTCCAACCAGTTCAGCTGCACAGTATTGCCGCTTGCTGCAGCATCAACGAGCACAGGGCCACGCCGTGAGATTTGCATATGTCATCTTGGTAGCTACGCACACTACATTCGGTTAGATTTGACTCCGGATTGTCCATTACCGCCTATTCATAGTATGTGGTTCAGTAACCGAACTGCTTCGGTTGAAAATTGGGAGAATCAGTACCAGCCTAGGTTGCAATTATGGTTTGATGCTCAAAATAACCCGTGATGTGTGAAATGTTTTCTTCTATTCGGTGTTTGGTTTTATGTTGTTGGGAACTTTTACATGATTATGTTTTTTCATTATATACTTTCATTTTATTCTTGTTAGAAAAAAAAGGATGTCGCGAGTAGCGACTTAACCCACAAGGGTCTCTGTTTTTCTCGCGAGTCACACATTATTTTTATGGAATATTTGAGTTCGAATGTAGTCTAATAAAAATAAATAACGCACATCAATCCGCATAATGTCTTACCAAAAAAAAAAAAAATCATTACACATTTAATTAGAATTGGCGTAATCCAACCTAAGCTTAGCCATTCGTCTGATAACTGCGCCGCCTGCAGAGGATCATGAGCTGTTAAACCCCGCAGAGTCCTCGAGGTAAGGTTGAAAGCACGGTCCATCCACTACAAAAAAAAAAAAATTTGAAGAATAAAAATATATGCTCATTATTTATTAAAATAAAATTTATTCTAATCAAACATTAATTAATTAAAAGTTTGCGAACGACTTACATAGTCGGTGTTCCCACGCGTAGGGACCTCGCTCTCGTCAGGAAGATTCTCACCCAAGACAGAAGGATGGGAAACCCGACGGTACCACAACAAGTACTCCGCATCTGCCTCCCCTCGATCATCTGTGGCGACCCTACCCATGCTGGTGTTGACAGTCTGCGACATCGGGAACTGGTTCCACATATTTACTGCGCCGACATCAGGATGCTCAACTTTGTAGAGCCTCGACTGCCAACCACGATAATTATAAGTAATGGATCAAACATTTTTTTTTCATAATAATAATAATTGTTAGTTAATCATTCATGATTATAAAATTCTAATTAATCATGTATAAAATTCTAATTAATCATCTATACTACCTGCCAAGCACGGTTTACAGCGGTCGACGTCTGTATAGGGGGAGGGATGGTCTGGACATACCCCAACTGCCGCAGAAACCGTACATGATAGCACGGCTCGACAATATCGCGGTACCGAATCAGTCCGCAATAAAGAGTCCTCTGCTCTATCTCATCTGGCCAGGAGCTGCTGTATGGCGTCCATTGCACTTGTTCACAATGGCATAAAAGCATTTATAAGAATATTTATATCATTTTAAGTAACGAGTAACTAAATAAAATAACTTAACGTACACTAGAGGCAGTGAGTCTGTCCAGCTTCCGACGGATAGACATGAGACGGTCCTCTGACCTATGACCCACCCCTGCGTTCCACATCCGAGCTCGTGCGGACTCGTTAGGTCCGAGTGGTAAACGCCCCTCCTGGGGTCGAAAATCAGGGAAATACTCGTAAATCCAAGACTGCAGAAGAGTCAAACAGCCAAAAAGTTATTTGGAGTCCCCTCTGCTGGCAATACCTAACTGTCGGCATAAATATGCCAGCGTAGCCGACCCCCAGGAGTAATCTCCAATGGCACCCAAGCCGCCGAGCACCTTATGTAGGAGCTTCGGACTCACTCTACTACCACTCTTGTCCACGAACAACGTGGTAGCCAGCAACACCCAAATCTAGGCACCAGCCTCATCTGAAGCCAACTTATTTTTACCCCTGAATATCTCCCCAATAGAGGCTTCAGCCATCGGACCACGCTGCCACAATGACGCAATTAGGTCAGGCTTCGTGACCGAAAGTATCTCCATGCAGTAAGCCTGGCAGGCCTCTAAATCCGGGTCCTCAAGGACCACACCTCCCCCAACAGGAATGTCCAAAATGGCCCGGACATCGTGCAACATAATGCTCAGCACACCAAAAGGCAGGTGAAACGAGTTAGTATCAGGCTGCCATCGCTCCACAAATGCAGTAATCAGTGGAGTGTCCAAGTGGACGTGCATGGAGTCTGCCAGATCTGACAGCCCGGTCTGTCTAATCAGATCAAGTGCCTCGGCAGGCATTTCACCTTGCCAAACTTTCAGATTTTCCACAGCTCGCTGTTTGTTCTGGCATTTCAGTAAGTCTCGCATCTGTCCATTCCACATTCGGGAGGCTACGTGCCCTAGAAAGCTAGAGATCACACTCCCATCCATGGGCCCACCAGGAACTGGACCTCTAACGATCCAGTCTGCCCCATCATCAGTCCTAGATCGTTTGCTAGTACCTACATTAGAATAGAACAGACAAATATATATATACATAATTGAAATAATGTTACTAACAGTACTGATAATTTGTTGCGATTAAGTCGAAATATTAATGTCAAACGAAATAAAAATACTTCAATTATTTACCTGAGGATCCAGTGCTAGCAAAACGCCCACCAGCCTGTCGTGGAATAGCAGGCCGAACAGGAGCCGTAGGCTGTGCAGGAGCCACAGGCTGTGTAGGAGACGCATGCTGAACAGGAGGTGTATGCTGAGCAGGAGGTGTATGCTGCGGTGGGAGTCCAGGAGAAGTATCGTACGCATCGTCATATGATGTGGACTCGTCAGAAGACTGCTCCGTCTGGGCTACCGACTCATCAGCATAATATACCTGCTGACCATACGGTGCTGGTGGACGGGGTATCGAACTGCCTGCATGGCCAGCATAATAATATCTCTGCTGATCATGATCGTACAGTAATGGTCCGGGGACGGGGACTCTAGAACTGCCTGCCTGGCCATACCCTTGCCGACCAACCGGTACGGCTTGGGCGTGGAGTCTCGAACTGCCGGACTGGCCAACCTGACCAGTTTGTAACATCCGAACCTCTTTGATCGCCTCCTCCCGAGTGAGACGACCGAACGCATTTATACCACGACTTATAACGTGTCGGGTTCTAGAACCGTGAATAATATTGTCGGCCGGGTCGTCACGGTCAGCTTGTTCAGGTATACGAATACCCTAAATGAACAATTTAAAGTAATAATCAGTAAATGTTTTTTTTATTTATATAATACGATAATTACATATATTCATTTATATAATAACATTATTATATATATATTTTTATACATATTTACAATAAATTATATACATATTTTTAAATTATTACATATATGTTTTTAAATGCTAATATATTAATTTTATAACCTAACCAGTTTATTTTATATTTATTTTTCTTTTATATTATAACTATAATTATGTAAATGCTAATATTTTAATTTTATAATATTCAAATAAATATATTATAATATTTTTTATTATTAATGTCATATTTTTTTCTTTTATATTATAATTATTATTATATTTATTATTATGCTAATATTTTTAGTTTTTAATATTCCAATAAATATATTATAATATTTTTTTCTTTGTTAATGTAATATTTTTTTCTTTTATTTCATAAATATTATTATTATAATTTTTTTACGTTATTTTTATTATTTTTATATTATAATATTTATTAATATTTATTAGTATAATTATTTTTATTATTTAATTATAATATAATTTAAATAAAAAAAAATAAAAAAACGTCCGGCCGGTTCGTGACCGGCCGGAGGGGCCGGTTCGGTCACCGTACGTCCGGCCCCCGAAGTCGGCGGTCCAGCTGATCGTGCGGCCCAGTCCGGCCGCATGTTTTACTTGGCGACCGGTAAAGCCGACCAGTCGCCCCACGGGACGTACGGGAGTCACGGCCGCACGACCCGTCCCGCGTCCGGTCCGACCGGTCGGACGCGGGTCCAGAATTTAGAAATTATTTAAATTGTAAAAAAAATTACCTTCTTAGAAAAAAACGCTTTGCCGAGTCTATATGATTTTTTCGACGTTTTTTTGGAATGTTTTTGACGCTCGTATGGCTCGTTCAAGATTCAATTTTAGAGAGAGAAAAATTAAAGAGAGAGTAGGGAGAAAAGGAAAAGAGTATTTTCGTAATTGGGGGGACGATGACTAGTAATAGGGGCGGTAAATAACGATTCACTCTTATGAACCGCATTATTTTTCCCCGTCAAAGCTGGAATTCAAAGCTCTCTATTTATAATACAGAAACCCATTGCCGAAACCGCGTTGCTTTTTCTTCTCCTCCAAACCAACCAAAAATAGAGCCCTCTTTTATTCTCTGCCTTTGTTTTCCAATTCAATAAAAAACGAAACCCCATAGCTGTAATTCTTGACCCATTTAAATCCCCTCTTTCCTCCCTCTTCTTTGCCTTTTTCTGCTCAATGATATTGAGAACTTTTGTATTGAATCCCTTGAAGCTCCAGTTTTGATTCTTGTTAATTTTTTCTTATTTATTTTTTAGATTTTTTTTTTATTTTTATTCTGTCCTTGTTGATTCAATGGCCAATCACGAATCCTTATAGGGGTTTGTGTGGCGATCGTTTGCATATTTGGTTTAGTTTTAGCTTTCTGAATTTCGGTACATATATTTTAACCCTGCAATGGAAGCTGTGTATGTGAAGATGCCGTGAAACGTTTTTGCTTAGGGTTTGAAGATTTTGGTTTTATAGGGTTTGGTGTTTGAATTTTTTTTTGGTGGAAAATCGCAGAGATGTCTTCCGCAGGTGTGGTGTCCATTGTCCCTGTTCGCGAGGAGGGTTTGACGTTTTTGCCCCCTCCGTCCCCCGAGCACAGCCAAGAATCCATTATGATATTCGTGGCTATGTCCGAAGGCTCAATGGTCCCGGTGAGGGTTCTGGGGTCCGATTCAATCGAGTCCATGAACCTCCGGATCCAGACCTGTAAAGGGATTTTCACCCGGAAACAAAAACAGAAGCTCGTCTGTGGAGGCAGGGAATTAGCACGAAGCAATTCACTCGTGCGGGACTATGGATTGACTGACGGCAACGTCTTGCATTTGGTCCTCCGTCTCTCGGACCTTCAGGTCATTACGGTGAAAACTTGCGGTGGGAAAGAGTTTACTTTTCACGTTGAGAGGAGCCGTAATGTGGGTTATGTCAAGCGTAAGATAGCCAAGGAAAAATCCGAGAATGTAGAGGATCATGAGGTGTTGCTCAATGGCGAGCCGATTGAGGATCAGAGGCTGATCAATGATATCTCCAAGCACAATTCTGATTCCGTGATTCATCTGTTTGTGAGAAAGACTGCTAAAATCAGGGCTTCCCCCGTGGGGAAGAACTTTGAGTTGTCTATTACTGCACCGCTGCAGAATGATGTGGAAGAGTTTGAAGTGGAAAAGACTTCAAATAGAGAGACATTATTGGAGCCCGTGATAATAAACCCGAAGGTCGAATTTCCTTCAGAGATTATTAGCATGATTGATTCCACCCTTGAAGGGTTGGAGACTGGAAAATATCCTGTTACAGCTTCAGAGGGTACTGGGGGCGCATACTTTATGCCGGATTCATCAGGGACTAAGTATTTATCTGTTTTCAAGCCAACAGATGAGGAGCCCATGGCCTTGAATAACCCTAGGGGTCTGCCTTTGTCGGATGATGGTGAAGGGTTGAAAAAGGGGACTAGGGTTGGAGAGGGTGCAATCAGAGAATGTGCTGTATATTTACTCGACCACCCAAAAAGCGGCCCGCGCTCGATTTCCGGTGACATCATGGGCTTTGCCGGGGTTCCCCCAACTGTTTATGTGAGGTGCCTTCACCGGGGCTTTAACCATCCGGATGGCTTGTCGGTTAAGAGTGGTTCTTTGCAGATGTTTATAGAGAACAGTGGGAGTTGTGAGGATATGGGCCCGGGCGCTTTTCCGGTTCAGGAGGTGCACAAAATTGCTGTGCTTGATATAAGGATGGCGAATGCAGACAGGCATGCAGGGAACATATTGGTTGGTAAAGGAGAAGATGGGCAGACGGTGCTAATCCCAATTGATCATGGATATTGCTTGCCCTATAGTGTAAGTGTTTTTTTCTGTATGGTTCTTGCTATCATATTCCTGGTTTAACTTGTTTGTGCGAACTGAATGTGGGTAACATTCTTATTTTTGGCTGTGTTATTTCTAAATTGGTCGGTGTTATTTCGGTTTGCAACATGGGCTATTGTCATAACCTTCAAGTTTCATCTGTTTTACATTTCATATGTCTAAACTTGTTATGGTTCTTGGATATGGACATAACACAGATTGCATAGAGGAGTTAGAACAAGCGGTTTGTTGTTTCTAAACACTAATAGTAATGTATTATCTGATAGTCTCATAATGCACTGGACAACCAATTATTTCGGGGTATTATATCCTTTTCAAGTTATTTTTCAAGCCTTTACGGTGGATTCAAATTCCTCAACTACACGTCTTGCTCTGCAAATGCAGCCTTAGACTTTTGAGGGACAAAGCAAACTTATAACCATGAAAGTGGTGCTCATAGCCTCATACTTCACCCCATCTCCATGGGCATGTATGATTTGATTGAGACAGGATACTTTGAAGTCACCATAATCTACAAAATTCCTCAGCTAAGAAATTGTTGATACGAATCATTTATTTTAAGCACTTCATTCTTACTAATTTATTTGCTTCGTATATAAAATGTATATTTTTTTTTTCATTTTTATTTTTTGCTGATTTTCTTGGCGACCTCACCTTTTCAATATCTATAGTTTGAGGACTGCACGTTCGACTGGCTCTACTGGCCTCAATCCCGCCAGCACTTCAGTGCCGACACCATTGAATATATAAACTCGCTGGATGCTGAAGAAGACATTGCCCTGCTCAAATTCCACGGCTGGGATATACCAATTGAATGTGCCCGTGTGCTACGTGTTTCCACTATGCTTTTGAAGAAAGGCATAGAAAAAGGTCTCACCCCATATGCCATAGGCAGTTTAATGTGCAGACCAACAGTTAGGCAACAATCTGTGATTGAGGAGATCGTGCAAGAAGCTCAGGATTCTGTGCTGCCTGGCTCGAGCGAGGCCACTTTCCTTGAGTCAGTTTCCGTTTTCATGGATCGTCGTCTGAAGGAAATTGATTAGTCATGTTTTTTATGGGAAAACATTATACATAAAAGTTTGTGTATATGTGCATATGTGTTTGTACATATTCACTGGTTGATGGTTAATGAAGTGTCTATCCGTTTCGTATTTCTTTTTCAGTTTCGGGGATAATTGTCTCTCCGGATTGATTGTTTTCTGTTCGTTGGGGATTAATTCGGATAATTCGACTTTCAGTTCTTTGGGTGATTTCTTCTGGTGTTTTATTATGTGATTTGAACCCTTTATAGTGG